GAAGGGAATGGTACATTTGCTGACGACTGTTAGACGTGAACTAGTATAGCAACTGTAAATTCTTTTTTTATTTACAAAAAATTTAGTTACGAAATGTACATAATTTTTGACTGCATTGATTGACATAAACAGTTTACTTAGCAGGTCACGCACTCTCCCAAAAGGAGATCTTAAAGTTTCAAGTATTTACCCTTACCTGCTTAGCTGGGACGGCATCAAGTGCCAGACCTGGGTTATCGCACTAAGGCCAACCGTACTTCCCATGCATTTCAGCTCTTACTGCCTGCAGGGTTAACAAACAACTGACCAGATTTAGGAGTCATTTAACGAGTACTTCCGAAGACCTATTCCCCATACAGAAGGGATGATACAAGCTTTATTGCTGAGTGTTCGTTATGTTATCAGTAGATGACTACAGTATCTTCAAGTGATTTAGTTATCTATTTATTCATTCACGAACAAAGCCTCTTTTTTAAAAAGTCCGACTCCATTTGTTAGAAATACTATATCAAATTTATACTTATTTCAGCAAAATCGATTACTAGACAAGTGAATAAAATTTGCATTGGTTGTCATAACAACGACAAGTTTGAATATATATAACCGCTCTGTTTTCCTTTGCTTCTTTTGTCTGTCTTAATAAAAAACTGAGCAGATGAAATATTCATGTTGGCAAAACAGAATTTTCACTTCTACAGGACCAAATAATCTCTATTTTTGTTTCCTTTTCATCTAACAGATTTTAACAAGTACTGGTAATCTGTTCAAAATGGAGCTGATAATTCACTATGCAACAAAATGAAATAAACGAGTATGCTAAGGATGATCATGATGATCATGCCAGTTAATTGCATCTAACATTGGTTCATGAGAATCATAAGATTTCATTAATTTACAAGATCTAAATGATAACAGTGAAATCAGCTAGTATGATTACGACAGTGAATTGCTAAATTATGAGATGTTCTCCATATCTTTTTTGTTCGGCCACCGCCACCAGCATACACTTGAAAGCTCTAAGCAACAGTTTTTGGCCCCTATTTCATCATTAAGGTTACTGTAGCATGGCATTCAGAAGGTAAGTCATATTTCAAAGGAATGAGAGGAAAAACAATCATGAAATATTCCACAAGTCAGAATTTAGCATGAACTTCTGTATGTAGCGAGTTATTTAGGTAGTGCTCGAAAAATAGAAATGGCAAATAATGATTTGAAACCCAAGGAAAGAAATTATACCCACCAAAATACGAATACCTCTTATTGAGGAGATGGAAACGTGGTCTTGTTTCCAATGTCAGCTGATGTTAATACAGAAAACCATACAAAAGCTCCAAAACGTTCACACAGTAACCAAGCTGTTTTAACTAATGTATTTCACTATTTATTTTGTTCAATACATTAACACTCTGAAGATGGGAACATCTCGTGATATTTTGTGTAAGTTAAGGATTACTATTCATAATGAAATCTGTATAAAATATTATCATTTATTGATTTTTGTAATTTCCCACTGTTATTCTTGACTGAAATGATAAACGTCTCTTGGCATACAGGCTGCTACGCGGATGCTTAGATATTTCTTGTTATTTGCTATGTTGTGATTTGCTTGGTGTTGGCTAGCAGTGAAATCCAGAACGCGTGTTTCTTCTTGTTTGTGACTCGTGAGCTGGAAGTACCCAAGCAATTAATAATAAAAACTGCTAAAAGAGGTGACCCTGGTGCCTCAGTATCTCAAATACTTTAGTGTTTGAACTGATGGGTTCTGTGCTCGAGTGTAAATGGGTACAACACCACTTATTTGGATGCAGCTTCATCCTCCTAACACGTTTAAAGTAGGATGTAAGGGGTGTCCTGGCTTCCACTACTAGCCACCAACAAGCACACTACAGTGTACAAAACACTGACTGAGTTATCGTTTAAAAAATTTGTTCATGCTTTTTGCCTACTGTTTACAGCAGTTACACAAAAATGTCACGTTAACAGATAACGAAACAAAAGTCTTGTAAGCTTTTATTATAAATCCAGTGAAGCATTCAGGCTTATGGTGACAGTATGAAACTGATTAGGGTTATTTAGATTCGACATTGTTCTTGATCAACAGTCAGCTTTATTTCTATCCATCATCCTTATCTAAGTATTCACCTCCTGTTAACTGACTATCGCAAGCTATTAGTAAAAAGACTTTCACTGAATGAATGTTTAATGAACAGCTATTTGAACTAGGCACATAAATAGCCGTTGTATCTATAAACCAAAAAGAAATTGCGCTGAAATACTAGTTGCTGTTTAATTCATATCAATGGCTTTGAGTTGAGATGCTTAAATCTACTTTTCCGTAACTGAGCCTCCACATTAACCGTGTTCTATGCACCCTATGATTTTACCTCAGGTTAATAAGTCTCTCTTGGTAATTTGCTTCAAATGTTTAGTTCTGTTGCTCATGGAGGGTAAAGTGGTAGCAAAGCAAACCAACGCAATTCCGTGAGCCATGAGAGAGGAAAAAACAATCTTTATTTATGGAAGTTATTTCTCCATGTTGCACCACTTCAGAAGTTTACAGCTTCATATGAATAGTGTTTTTGTAAGCACTGTAAGGTAACACCTGGTTCCCTTCATCTTAAATTATCAAAGTTAACTTGATATAATGAAAGAAGATACACTTAGTAAATTTGCAATCAGTGTGTCTATCTGTGGAAATCAACAAAAAAAATAAGCTTAGAGAGATTCCCTCGGTTAATAAGCTGTTAAAACGAGAAAATTTAAAGAACATGAAAACCAAATGGAGCATTGAATAGAAGGAAATTCTTCTAGATATTTTACCCACTCAGAAGGGTTGGTATGATACTCTAACGAATAACGTTATCAGGATCCTGCCACTTTGAAATATTCTTCAATAAAGAACTCAATGAAAAGAGATATACCCGTACTGATAGTAGTAGTAGCAGCAATAGTACCATGATTGGTAATTAAGTAGAGAAAACCAAACAATCATAATCCTCATACTGAACTACTAATCCTCTCTAATACTGTATGATCTAATTATATTTTAATTCACAGGAAGGTAAGGAAGAATAAGAGTAGTCATGTGTATTGGAGTTACATGATGGAAAAGTGGTGAAGAGAGGACTAAATTTGCTGTAGGATTCTTATTTACAAACGCTATTATGAACAGCCTATCAGTTTCCATGCGACAGTAGAACGTTGGCAGCCTTTACATTGAAGCATGAAGATTTGGTTCAGACGAATTCTGTGGCAGTCAGATCTTTGCCTTCAAGGTAGTTCACTTTTTTCTCATTTCGTTATGGTCTGTGTCCTAGTTTATACCTCTGCTGACTTTGAACTGCTATTAAAATTAAGTTTTTCAAAATTCAATAATAGTGTTCAACTCTTTTTTCCCGCCTAGTACCTTCATATTCTGGTAAGTAAACTTCTTTCAAAAAGGTGTTTTTGTGCTCTGATATAAAGACAGGTCAATTTAATGTATATTGTTTATACAAAAGATATTCACTGGAAGAGGTTAGAACGTAATATTCACTTCATAGAATGTGTAACAATGAATAATCTTTAAAGCATATTTTAGGGTCAAGTTCAGAGTGCTCGCCTTAATTATGGCCCTTTTCAACCTGCTTACAGTATAATTGACAGGTATGCACGAGAAAAATTAAGCTTTCAGTCAAGGCAAGCTCAGTCATACTAATTTTCGAGGCAGTGGTTAACAGATGATCAGTCAACGCCACATCAGTCGATTACTGAGATGAAACCGATAACTCGGTTTGAATCTCACTTCAACCACTAACCTTCTTGCACAGAACTCATTACTTAGTTGTTTTAATCTTCATTCAAAGCTTCGAGTGAGTAGCCTGATGGTCCAATGATTTAGATCTTGTTCGAAACTATGATACCTTCCAAGTTAAGTCTCGGTGTCTATGTACAAAGGATATCAACAAAAGTTACCTCAAAGTGTCGAACAAATATTTACTTCAAAATTCGCGAAAAAGACAATTTTTTATCTAAAAACTGGCGATAAGATAACAATTTTATACCACTAAAACAGCTACATCATTGTCCTGAATGCTTTCGCTGCCAAGTAAAATCAAAAATAAAATATCCGAAGCAATATAACTGGCATTATTTACTAAATGGAAGAAGTTTACATCAAGCAGAAACTGATCCAGAAACTTGGTCAACGAACTTTTGAGTTATATCAAGTTATACTTAAGCTAGTCATTATATGACAGGATGTCCAAATCTATAGTTATGACCAACTTCTTCTGGTCAGGAAATGTATTACAGTCACTGAAGTGAATAACTCAACAATTCAGCCCGCTCAGTTTCCTATCAGATACTTTAGTGCATACAGCAACAATCAAAAATTGGTGGAGTTATTCATTGCAGACCAACATCAATTAGAGGACCACTGTAAACGTGGCAGCACTGAATAGCTGTTTCGTCCCAGTGTGAGAATCCTCAGCAGCACGCACCCATGATGCAGCAAATGTGTCAACACTAAGCCACTGGGTTGGAATTCTGTAGTTCACATTTTTCTATTTCTATTGTGATATAGCACAATCTTCATCCAATGACGTCACTGAGTACCTGTTCTCACATCGACTTGGTTTTGCCCCATTGGTTACAAATTCTCATTAGAACTTTGGCGATTCTCATCTTGGAGCAAGTCACTAATGATCACTGGACAGTAATTTAACTGAAGATTTTCTCCGTTTACATCTTTCGGTAAAATGTATCTTCAAGTTTTCAAGATCGTGATCTTAAGTGAAACAGCGGAAATGTTGCCTGTTCGTCAGTAGTAAATTTTTAATCTTCACTTTCTGAATAGCTCTCATACAGATACAGATATACCTGATTACTAAATACCAAGAAGGATAGACAGTAATTAGGCTTGATGTCCTGAAAACAATCCCGGACATTTAGAAAGAGACGGATAGAGAGATTTAAGTTTACACTATTACATAAAATTGTTTCAAACTTGATTCACTTACTTCACTTGTTCTTGGACGATAATATAAGGTGGACATGGTTATCTCTGCAGTTATATCATCACATACACACAATCAGTTACAACTTTACAGCATGAATAAGAAACCAATACAACAAATAGATCATAATCCAATCTCAATGTTCAATTGTCTTTCTTGTTTACATACCAATGAATTATGAAACATTTATTTATCCAACGGAGTGTATCATTCATGAAGAAACATTTTCATGTATACAAAAGGTTAAAACGTGAAGATTACCTGTACAATAAAATATCCATTATTATAATCACTGTTATGTATTATACATTTGTTCAAAATTACTTTATTCCTCACTAAACTATGCTCAAATATGACAATACTTGATAATATATTAAACGAAATCGGTTGCTATGACAACACACTTATTTTCCAATTTGAAAAGAAAATATTGGTGTATTTTTTGTTGAAAACAAAATTGATTGGTTACCACTGTGTAGATTATTTTGGTGCTGAATTCTACTTCATTACTGATATTATGATTACAATGGGGGGAAAATTGGATGATTTTAAAGGTACCATCCTAGCAATTGCAATATAATTAATCGGATTTTGGTTTTTCGCCTGCGAAGGGAGTTTCACATAAAATAAAGAAACGCGATTGGTTATCTTAGCAGTTGTTGTAGTCACTAGAAAAAATAGAATTACAATTTACACTGATAATGACAACTGAAACATTTCTAACTCAATACTTTGATTCCGTCTACAAGTCAATGAGAATAATAAAAACACTTAAATTGACCGTAAGTAAATAACGTGAAAATCACTGCTATTCATGTTATCTATTCTTTATCCTTTTAGCAACTCGATTATGCAACCAACACATTTTATAAGCCAGTTCATGTGATGTTCACAACTATAATATTGTCTAAGTAAGCAAAAGAGCATTTCTCGCTGATCTAAGCCATGACATCAGAAAAGAATTTAATTTCATAAGTCCAACAAACTGAGGCTATCTCAGATAGTCAAAAATGATAATCAATACGATTCTCCCTGTCTCTGATTCAGGTAGATTTGAATATGGATGAGACGTCCTGACGTGGCAATCAATGTGAAATCGATCAATCGATAGTAATTCATAAAGAATTCATATCGCTGATTGAAGTGAAATTAAAATCTAGTCAGCAGTCGATCTCATAACTCAATAGGTAGGCAATCGAGCCGGTAACCTAGAGCTGGTTGGTTGGAATCCTGCTGCAGTCAACGTTTTCGTCTCACCTTCAACCATTGCCCAGTGAAAGTAGAGGAAATCGATCTTTTCAATTCCGAGGTGCGTGGGGATTTATTCATGACTCCAGGTTGGTATTCATCCTGGACTGACATCAGTTGGAGAAACAGCAAACTAACAGAAGTAGAAAGATGAACCGTTGGATTGCAACCCATTGGCTCAATGGTAACGTGCTGGCCACGGAACCTGAAGGTCATGCGTTCTGTTCCCGGCGGGGTCATGTGTGCGCAGTGCTGAGGATTCCTACACCAGGACGAAGTAGCTTTCCAGTGCTCCTAGTTTTCCAACGTTTCCCTAACTGATATCAGTTCAGGATAAATAGCAACCTGAAATCAATTTCTGTCATAAAATATAACCTTGAGGAATGACCTCTCTTTGCATTAGTATATATGTAACGTTGGAAAGCCCTTCGTCCCTGATGTTGATTACTTTGCCAGTTAGATAGCGAATTCGCCGTCCGGTGTTTAAATCACTCTGATCTCGCTGGTGAAATCCCCAGATCAGCCTGAGTAGTTAGGACCCACTCAGGCTGTTCAGCAGTATGTGTTACCGAATTCACTTAAAGGAATCTAAAAAATATGTCTACTTTCTGTTTGGTGAAAATTCTCTGAATCTTTAAATATCAGAACTTGTGAATATTGCGAGTAAATACAGAATATCAGTCTGAACCCATTTTTACTGTTGTTTCTCTGCTTAATAATATGTTGTGATCAAGTTATTCGACTAATAAAAGTCGGTGTGTTTAGTAAGGGTATATCAAAGGTAGTCATATGACTGGTAAACACAGTTGATACGTTAGTGAGCTGCTAAAATGCTTAAGCTAAGTCTAACCAAAAACATACAAATGCTCATTCTAATATAATCTTTGAGGTGAACATTTCTGTTATCCAGTTTGGTGCACATTCCGTTATCAAAGTTCGCTTGCCTGACCATATGAACCGCTATTGAGAAGTTCATTATGTAAAGTGTAGCTCATATCTGCAGACCCACTGTAGCCTAGATAGAGAAAGTGATGAAGTCTGCTAGCCCGGTGATGAAGCGTCTAAGAACAAACCTCAAAACTTGGAGAACACGGAATAATTATCATCTTCACCCCGAGCTATAAATCATCTCTACTATTTCAAAAGTATCTCCTCAACTTAGTCATAGAATACTTCATGAACCCCAACAGCTCAGCTCACTCTAAAAACGTTTAAATACCTTGTGAAAAATTAAAGCGAAATTTATTTAAAGCTTTAACAACCCATAATCTTAAACTTGTGTTGAAAAAGGAACACAAGAAACCTTTATTTTAACCAACGATGGTGACAAGAAGCCCCCAATATGCCCTCAATGGTTCATTTTACTATCTACTTTAATCTAAATTTACGTCTGCATATCATTCCAAGATACCCCCGTTCTTCCTACAAGACATGCATTGATGCATAAATGTATGAATGTGTAGCTACAAAAACGAGGTTTAGTGTATACACAAATTTTTTTATGCTGCAACCATCTCTTCATCCTTCGTATGCTTTTTAATTGGCTTGAGTAAATAAAAGATAGTGTCACTCTATCAGTTAAAGTAGCTTAACACGCATAATTGTGTGAAATGCACTAAATCAGTTGTTTGGTTTCTTTTCCATGCTGTTTTGAAGTTAAACAACTTGAACTGAATATTTCCTTTGTTTTAAAAGGTTCCACATTATGTTATTTCTCTTCATATTGACGAATAGAATAGTTGGTTTTACATACTTTTACAAAGCAATTGACTTTTTTCCAAAACTAACACTGCGATAAATGACCTTGACAATTTAAAAGTGTCACTAGACAACCTTGATCTATTTAAAGACAAAGTTAAAAATAAAATAAGGTCTACGCTCAAATTACAATTTACTCACTACTCCTTATCCTACCAGATGAAAAATGTAGATAGATAGACAGATATGAATGACAATAAAATTTCGAAAACTAGAAACAGATAACTAAATTATTCTCTTCAATGGTTACATTTGTTTGAAGATAATAGTCTTCTTATTCTCCCTTCAAAAGTTCAGCAAGTATGTCTTACTTCAAACAGACATTTAAAGAAAGTGCTAATGGCATGAACTCACCTCTAAAACGAATGTGTTCAATGCTTTTTTTGTTAGAGAATTATTTATCAACCTTACGGAAACTCTGAAATTTAAGGTTTACACCATTAGGAGTAAAGTACTAATACCTCCAGTCACTTAAGACAAACTATTTTCTATTGTTAATTAGCTTATTACCTAAATATAAACTGTCTTAAAATTTGAACTTTCGTACAAGCTAAGAAACAGTGGTAGACGTTCAAAGGTATTGGTAACGGATGAAAGTCACTGCCGTAGCGTTCAAGTACTAAGGCATTTATTATCAGAAGATTTTTATAATTAGGGGTCTTGTACGCCACTTATCATTTTTTTAAATCACTCTTCTAAAACCTATCTATATCTTATATAACTTCGCGTATTTTAACAAACTTGTGAGCTTTTCGTCAATCACCTTTAACCGTTGCAATACCTTTAATCGTAGGCCAGAAACAACAGCAACTGCTGAGATAACTACTCAGTTCTCATTATTTTGGCTGGGAAGGTAGCTTTTCATAAAATGAAAAACTATAACTGGTTATCGTAGTAGTTGTCAGGGTGGCCTTTAAAGCAGCTCCACTTTAAAAAAAAAAAACAACTTAAATGGCCAGTCAGATTTCTTTGTTTGAGTCGAAAAAGCATATTTTTAGAAAAGCAGCCAGGCAATCTACACCTCTCAACATGACTCACACTAACAGTCAGAGACTTCATCGACTGGTTCCACGTCTTCATCGGGCCACCATGAACCCTCTTCCGACCAATCCATCCCATTAAGTGAAGCTTCACAACTTCATCATTTGACCTGTCTGCCTGACTTGCCTCTCTTGACCTCAATATTTCTCACACGGTGATTCCACTACACATGACCAATGCTGCGAAGACATATGTGATCAAAACCCTGTAATTGCTTCATATTTCCTACTTTCGACGGTCATGTCGCAGTTGTATTACAGGACAGAATGGACTGTAGCATAGCATACTCGTCTTTTGATAGGTGGTCGAATATCTCGATAGCCGGGGACATAAATGATACAAGCTGGCAAATGCCAAATGGGTCTACTGTATTCGAGCTGAGATTTCGTCAGCAACCAGCCCTTTCGAAGGATGCAACTCAAATAAATTTCCAAAAGAGTCACTTCGTTCGACCCATTTCCTTAGCAGATCTTCGTGAATTTTAAGTATGAATAAATTTTTAGCCACCTTTGGAAAGCTTAAGTTTCTTCTTCAAATCACACTACTGAAAATAAAGCGAATACCTTCAGATCATATTCATCTCAAAAGATAGTGAAGATGCACAGAAATTTCTAGTACCCTCGAAATGAATTTGAAATAAAAGGAATAAAAGAATATACCAGCTAGGTTGATTTAGACATCCTAAGAAGGCCATTAGGTTCATCACTCCTCCAAACAAGAACCAGCTAAAATTGTTAGAATTTCCTTGACAGAAATATAGTCATAAACAGTCAAGGACTGCGCATAATGAAGACACTGTTTATGAATATTGGATTCAATAGGAGATACATTGGCAAAGATGCTTAAGAATCGATTGTGTAAAGTACTGAAGTAGACCTTTTTTTCTGGCCAACTTCGGATTTTTTTCTGTAGTCAACTACTAATTAGAGAGTGTATGAAGGATAAACTACCGCTTTGGACCGCCCCATGTTTGTTCAACAACACACTTGCTC